CTTGAATTTCTCTTTCATTATTTTTCATTCTTTGGTTTCTCTCTTCTTCCTTCTGATTTATTTCTAGATTTCTGTCTTTGATATCACTGATCATTTCCTTCATTTGGTCTACTCTATTTCCCAAGCTTGCTATTTCATTTTTCAACTCTTGCAGTGTGCTTTTTTTATCTCTAGAAGATCTATTCTGTTCTTTTTGAGGGTTTCAATCTCCTTACTCTGCTCATCTAGTTGTTTTTTCAATTCCTGAAATTGTTGATATGATTTGTTTTGGAACTCACTGAGTTTTTTCAGAAGTACTGTCCTGAATTCTCTGTCATTTACATTGCATATTTCTTTGTCTGTAAGCTTATTTTCCGGAGATTTTTCTCTTTCTGAGGTGGCTTGTCACCTTGGTTGTTCATGGTGTTTAATATACTATTTCTCCGCCTGGGCATTAATGAAAGTGTATTCAGTTTTTCCAGAAAGATTTATTATATAAAGGTCTCTCTTTAACCTGCTGCAAAAAAGGTGCTTTTCTTTTTGTTTCCAGTAGGTGGTGTCTAAACCTTTTGGATCCCTGCTTTATATAAAGCCTAAATAATGCCTCTTTTATTTTCTTGTAGATATCACGCTCATTACCTTTTGTTTCAGTCCTTGTCAGTGTCAGCGACAGTCTCAGCAGCATTCAGATTCCCCCAGGGCTCCGTGGTGATCACTCTCGGAGGGTATGTGCAGAGGGGCCCTCTGGGTTGGGAGTTGGGTGCTGCGGCTCAGCCTTAGATTTGCAACCATGGCCAGTAAAAATCAACTGTTGTTTCTCTGCGGTCCCGTCCCACTTCTCTGCTTTCTGCCCTGATTACTAGGTCCTGCCGCCAGCTGCGTGGAACTCACAGCACTGCCAGGCATGGCTGTTCAGGAAGTCGCCACACCTTCTCCCCTCCCCCTCCTCTTGCAGGGAGCTCCGGAGGCTGTGAGAGGCAGCTTCTTTATTTCTCCCAGTCCACCTCCTGACATCTGGGGTTCTGACCTGTGGTAGTTCTTATCCACGCAGATCCCACGCTCAGACGTGCTGGTGTGGTTTAGGTGTTTTTTCTTGAGTTTTAGATGTTCAGCTTATTGTTGCTTCAAGGGGAGAGATCTGAGGACATCTCTCACTCCACCATGTTTCCCAGAATCTGGTAGCTTTGCGTATTTTAAACGTTGGTGGCAGAACTGGCTAGCAACATCTATTCAAAGACTTTTGCTGCCACTTAGCGGACATTGCAGTAATAACTATACGAACGAGTTCTAAAATCAATGGTTACTGTTTTACCATTTAAAATGTTCCAAATAACCAAGATGTGTAAGCTACTAGTGGCCCAGCTTAGACAGTCACCTTGTTCTGTGAAAAACCTGATCTGGCAAAAAAACACTGCAGCCCTGGTTTTTCTAATTGTTTGCTCCTCAGACCTTGAAGCCCTACCTGTTGGAACTTTTTTCTTGAATGCTGTAAGCACTGAGCTGATCGAGAAGAGAAGGTTTAGGTGATGAGACGTCCAGTTGAAAGAATGCATGAGAGGTTAACATGAGAATGAAATGGCAGGCACCAATTTTATTGTGTGGAGTGCACTTCTGTTTGTAGAAGTACAGTTCTATTGCGGGGAGCGCAGTATTGCTCTCATTTTTCCTGCTCCCCTTCTTGTGCTCCCCTTCTGCTCTTCAAGGGCCTGCATGGCTCCATACATAGCAGAGTATAATAGTGGCATTCAGACACACATGCATGATTCAATAAGCTGAAGCATGTTTACATATTTTAGACTCAGGCGTCCTACTACACTAATGTAACAGTCTAAATCCAGGTCCTATTCCTAGCCGGGATCCTAGATAACATCCAGACCTTGGACCAGCCAGACCTTGGACCAGCTGGGCCTGGCGCCCACAAATGCCAATACACAAGATAATTTCTCACCGTGAGATCTCACTTTGCTAGCCCGAATGGAGGGTTAAGGAGAGAATGGGATGGGAAGAAATAAAAACAGGTCTGTCCACCTGAGGTCTCATGCCGTGTCCCCTTTAGATATTTAAACGTCCCAATTTTGTGCCCTTTGCAGGCATATGTTTAATAGACTTGAGACCTCCCTGGACTATAGTCGCAACCTCCTGTGAAGCTATAATTATTTCAAAATAAAACTAAACCACGCAAAACCTTTCCTAGGTGATACCACATCTACAGTGAAGAATGAAAGGTGGTGGTCTGCGAATCTTAGCATGAAAACAGTCTAATTCTAGAGGGCTAGTTAGAGCAGTGTGCTGGACCCACAACCAGGGTCTCTGATTCAGCAGATTGGGTTTAGGGCCTGATGGCTTCAATTCCCGGCAAGCAGCCTAGATGTTTGGATGCAGCAGGTCGGAGAAGCAGGAGTGATCAAATGGTTGGTCATACGTGACCCCACTCATCCTCCTCCTGAACCCTAGCTATGCTCTCCAAGAGGGTCTGAGGCATGGGGGACACAGTGGTGCAAGGAGCAGACCACTCTGGACACACAGCAGCATCCAGCCTCTGTAGGCTGGGCATGGAGGTGGGTGTTTGAGCCACTGGAATGAACTCACTGGTTTCAATGAGAGGGTAGAGACTCTGAGTGACAAGTCACATAGCAATCACTACAGTTACCACAATTGATGACAAGAAAACCCTGATCTGGCAAAGTCAGCCCACACTAGGGTCAATCCCCCAAGACTGGGCCATACCCCAGACCAATCTAACTCTCCTCTCTTGGTGTGGCCTGGCATGGGTGTTTTTGTTCGGTTTTGCTTTTCTAACTTTTCATGTGATTTCAACAGGCACACAAATTGGAAAGTGGGGCTATAAAAAAACAAAAAACTTTGTATCTGGTTAATTGATGACAGAGACCCTAGGATTAAAATCAATGACTTGGTTGTGTCATCAAAAAAAATTTTTTTTGGTCCCACGAAGGAAGTTGGACTGAATCATGGAGGTGGAGAGCCAGTTTCCGCTCAGCCCCCAAATTGCTCACAGCCCAGTTTTGAGGTGAAAACAGTCCACACACACTGATCATGGACAATGAGCCTGCCTCAAGGAAGTCTTCGAAACCATCTCCCCAAGGGGCCTGAAGACTTTTGTAGATGGGCCACCAGGGGAAGACACCAGACCTTCACAGATGGCTGGGCCCTGCCTGTGAGTTAAACCCACTCCAATGTTCTCAACATGTCCCCAGACCAACAGTATTGGAACTTGTTTTTAAAATGCAGATGCTCAGGTCCTCAAAAATGAGGGAAATATGAGAAAGTGTCACCAAGAGGAGTCTTGAGGAGACAAGATGACTAAATCAATGTGGTGTCCTGGCGGGAGAATAGTGGCTGGAACAGTGGGACACAATGTGAACACCGAGGAAATCTCAAAGCACAGCCATTGTTTCACTTCGATATACTGAATTAGCCATCCGTTGTGACAAATGCCGCATACTGGTGTGCGATGTGACTAACAGGGCCGGAATCTGATGGACTTCAGAAAACCATCCTGAAACCCTGTTCATCTCAAAATCCAGATCCTCAGGCCCCACCGCAGAGCCACCAAGTCAGAAACAGAATGTGGGGCCCCTCATCTGTAGTTCAGCAAAGCTCTCGGGGTGCTGATGGAACATTGAGGTCAACCAATAGCTAGTGGCTCAAAATGCCCTGTTGTCCATTAGTCACAGTGGAAATGGGTAGGTTGCCAAATTTAGCAAATAAAAATAGAGAATGCAGGGGGGAAATATAGAAATGAGTAGATGAAGAACAAAGGATTTTTAGAGCAGGGAAACTACTCTGTGTGACACTATAACAGTGGATAAATGTCATTATACATTCATCTAAACCCACAGAATGCACAGCACCAAGAGTGAGCCCTAATGTAAACCATGGACTCTGGGTGACAAGGATATGTCCATGTAGGTTCATCAGTTGTAACAAATGCACCATCTGATGTGGGGTGTTGATTGTGGCAGGTGCTCTGTGCAGTGGGGGGCAGGAGAGGTATGGGAAATCTCTACTTTCTGTTCAATTTTGCCATGAAACTACAACTGCTCTTAAAATGTCTTTTTAAAAAACACAAGATGCTCAGTGAAATTTGAATTTCAGGTAAATGGGTAATTCAGAACATATGTGTACTAAAAAAATGTTTGTTTGAAATTCAGATTTCACTGGTGTCCTTCAGTTAATCTGATCACCCTACTGAGATCACGCTATTTTACAATGAAATAACAGATAACAGGGGGACAACCAGCAGCCTTGGTTTAATTACAAAATATTTATCAAAACAACTAATGATGCTATTCATTGGAAGAATAGCACCATTAAAAAAAAAAACCTATAAGGAAGAGAACAATAGGACATAATGAAACAAAAAACAAAAACCAATAGAGATAATTATTCAAAAATCCTAATTCCATTTTATAGAACACTCACTGTGTTCCAGAAACTGTATAAGTACTTCACACATCATATATCATTTTTGCAACACAGGTGACGAATCACCATCAATTTCCTTCTTGAGCGGAAGGGACTTGGGCTTGATGGCAGAATCTTTGAGTGGTCACTTTCAAATGTGTTTTTTGGTGCCGTTTCAAAGTTCCCAGCTGACGAAAGTCCTGGTGGCACTGGTGACACAGGTAGGGCTTTGCCCCCGAGTGAGTGCGCAGGTGGACATTGAGGTTCCCTTTGTGGTTGAAGTGTTTGTCACAGACTTCACACTGGTAAGGTTTCTCATTTGTGTGGACCCGCTGGTGACTTCGCAGGGTGGAGTCGTGGGTGAACTGTTTGAAGCAGACTTTACAGGTGTACGGCTTCTCCCCGGTGTGGACCCGCTGGTGAACTCGGAGGTCTGAGGACTGCATGAAACCCTTGAGACAGACCATGCACTTGAAGGGTCTGTCTCCTGTGTGTGTCCTCTGGTGAACGTTCAACTGAGATTCATAATTAAATCTTTTCTTGCATGTGCCACACTCATACGGTGTCTGTCTCGTGGCTTCTTTCCTAACCGAATGACCAAATGGTCCCATGGTGATTGGTGAATGCTTTGAGTTAGACCTGAGTTGTCTGGAGAATTCCTCCGTGTCCAATGACATGGCTCCTTGAGGCACCTCTTGGGGAATGGAGGTATTGCCCTGTTTTCTTCTTTGGGGATCCCTTGGACTCCAAGAGTCTTTTCCTTTCCAACTCTGGGTCAAAACCTCTGTCTCTGAACCATGGGTGCAAGGTACGTCGGCATCCACATTTTTAATACAAGTTGCTTCTTGGAGGTTCTTCCCATCCTCTGCCCTCACAGACTCTTCTGGAAGAAAGGGTTTAACACAGAACATTTGATAAAGTTTTTGACAATAGTATCCAACACATCTGAACTAACAGTGTGTTGGCTGGGAACTTTCTCGCCAACCAACAAACTTGAGAGGTTAGACTGCAGGATTCTCTGGAAAGTCGGTGATGGAGAAGGCCTGGCATTAAGAGCCAGCTCTCCCCAGGAGATGGTGGTGATGGAAATCCAGCCCGGCACCCGGCTTAGGAAGAGTTGCTAACCCCCCTGAAGTCCCCATTTCCATATTCACCAGGACACTTTAGAGGCCGGGACTCTGGGGATGTCATCATCTCTTCCTTGTCTTCCATCGGATCCTCCTCTGAGTTCTGTGCGGGTCTCAGACTCTCCAGTTCACCTTTTTCAGGAACAGTCTCTGGCAGAACTCCCCAACCCTGGCAATGGCAACCAAGTATAATTACGAACATGTGTCAGTGGAAAGCTACAGCTTGTCTCATCTCTTCCCATCTTGCCATCTTCCTGATCAGAGATGCCAGCTTTCCTAACAGTTTTGTAGATTTGCCCAGACCTCCTTGGGACTACCCCATCATCCCTGATATAATCATCACCTGATTCTCCAAGTCTGTCATTAATCTGTACCCACCAAACCATAAAATCAAGTCCATACACCACAGTTTTCACTCTCAGTTCCCTAATGATGTACCTCTCCCTGTCACCCCAGCTTCTGACCGTGGGAGCCAAATGACTAGACCCAGGTCTCCCAACTCAGCACTACTGATACTTTGGCTAGAATCTTTGTTGTGGGGGCCTGTCCTGTGCCTTTAAAGTGACAAACAGCATTCTTGGTCTCCACTCACTAAATGTCAATACCATTCCTCAGCTGACTCCCATTTTGACAACCAAATACATCTCCAGACATTGACAAAGGTCTTCTTGAAGGCAAAGCGACTCCTTTAATTTCAACAATTGACAGAATTCTGAATATTGGTCCTTTGAGCAATTGTCATTCTATTGGTGCCTTTGAGAAAAATTAGCTTTCAGTTCACTGACCTGCAGCAAACTGACCTGGTACCATTTCACAGAAACTATCTCCTTCTCCCCACCCTTAACACAAAAAAAGCTTGAATGATAGAGGGACAAAGGTTGACAGGTCTTTATTGTCCACACTGGCTCAGAAATGTCTCTGGATTTAATGTATCCATGAGAATTGCTAGGTAAATGGATCCAGTTTTGACACTCTAGCAGCTACACCCACTGCTTTCTCTTGTACTTCCCACCTGTCCTCAGAGATCAGAGCATGACACTCACCTGTCCCCTTGACATTTCATCAATTCTCGGCACATTCTCCAGCTTTTGGAAGACCTTCTGGCTGTTCTCAGGATGTATCTCTGTCTTACTCACAGAGGATGGAGGCTTTCTGGACAAGTCTGTCACATCATCTGTGTCACTGACCTCAGCTTCAGCCATCACAACATCCGAATTTCGCAGAAGAAATTTCTGTCCTTGTAAACTGACTACGGTCTGTGGGAGAAAATAAAACAAGGTAAGAACTGGGATGTGGCCTTCAGACTCCCTGTATGCATCCCACCCAACCCCAACATTGCCAGATGCTCCCTGGGGGAGAGGTGGAACCACCCCACCCCCTGGCATTGGATAACTACTGGCCTAGATCAAGATTAGGTGGTCTCACCTTTGAATTGTCACAATACATCTCTGATTTGACTCTAGCCACAATATCTGATCAACCTGCATACCTACCCCATTTTTTCTGCCCCCTCACCTAAAAATCAGCTCAAGCTGTTTCATCCTGATACACGCTTTGTCCACCCCCGAGCTAGGAAGGTAAGATGTGGCGTGATGAAAATCTAACACTTTGCCAAAGAGATGCTTCAAATGTTTGGGGTTTACATTTCACTTAACCGGGTCTAAAGAATGCCTTTATGATTATTCCAGATTAACCTTTTTCTGTTCCTCACATCAAGTTTTCCACCATGTGGCCAAAGCTTATCGTTCCCATCCTCAGCTCACCCCTAAAGGATTCTGCCACACACCAGAGTGCACAGGAAAAGGATTGCCACATCGAACTATCTTGGTGCCCTCCTGTTCATGTACAAAATTACCTCTAAATGAATTTACATCCCCAAGACTGGAGCAAATATATGCCATGTGCTACACCAGGTTTCATCTCCACCTAGATTCTCTTGACTCTTGCTTCTTTTCCCCATTTCCCTTCCTTGACTCTTTCTTCAAAGCATGCAGGCACTCCAACTACCATAATGAAAAGTGTCCCCATGGAAGTGTTTCCTAGTCCAGGGCCCATTTTTACCTGGTGGAACATTGGGCAAAGAGCCAAGTTTTGCCATTGACACCTAGTTGGGAGAGGCAAAGGATGCTGCTAACATCCTACAGTGCTCAGGATGCCCCAGAGCACAGAGTGGTCCATCCTGAAATATCACTACTACCAGTTTGAGAAATCCTGGTCTAGTCAAACACCCACTGATATGATAACAATCAACTGATATGTTATAACAATCATATCAGTTTCTATCCCAGCTCCTTTTTCCCTCAGCATCATCTCAAGACTCTAATTACCAAAGTACGGGTGTCAGGCTCCCTTTTCCTTGAACCTCTAGAATATCCCTACACAACTGTCCCCATGAGAGGCAAGACAGGTGACAGTAAAGTGTGTAGACTCATGAGACCCATTGCCCAGGCTGAGACTGTGTCACTGTTTGGATGTATCCCGTCTGTGCCTCAGTTTCCTCACCAGTAGCATTCCCTCTGCTCCCCATTGTGACAGCCAAAAATGTCTCTAAACATGGCCAAGGGTCCTCTGAGGGTTAAACGCTCCCTTTCGAGAACCACGAATCTTGAATAAACCCCTTATGCCATTTCTAGTCCAACCCCACCTCGCGGCCCCCATACCCGCTGTACCTTCATTAAGGTCCTACTCACCCATTTCTTGGGTTTCGCATTGCTTCTTAGCATGTCCTCCAGGTCTTTGCAACTGTCTACGCCACTTTCTTTGACTAAGACCTGGAGCTCCTGTGGCATGGAGATCATGAACTGCTCCATCACCAGCTTATCCAGAATCTGATCCTTGGTGTGGACATCTGGCCTCAGCCACAGATGGCAGAGCTCTTGGAGCCTCCGCAGGTCTTCCACAGGGTCTGATTCTTCTGAGCCGGTAAACGCTCTAAAAGTGACGTGCCAAGTCTCAGCGTTGCAGTCTTGCCCTTCAGTAATGTTGAAATCTTGGAGTGGCACAGACTCTTGGGGTTTCCCATGACTCCACAAAAATGTCTGGTCAGCAGCCATATTTACTGGGAAATTTTCCAATACAACTTTGAGCAAACTTCTTGAAGCCAGTGTCTAATAGAGAAGGCGTTTGCTCTATAATGGATTCAGAAGTCTGGGGCAGGGAGGAGGGAATGAATCTGATTAATTTAGCTTCTTACTCCACGCTTGCTTCCCTTCTAAGTCCCTCCCCCTAATACTGGATGCCCAGCCCCCACTGGTCCTATCTTCAGCACCATAGAAGTTAATCCAGTTATTCTTCTGATGCCTATTTTTACTATATGTGCTGCTTTCTATGTCTGAATGGCCCCTAGGTTCTGATTTCTAAATGTAGAGGTGAGGCCAGTTTTCTCATCCGTAAATTGGGACCGTGTTCTTTCACTGGAAGTGAAATATGGTTGTGAAGTGTGAAGCTCCTAAAATCAATTTTAACAATCATATCAGTTTCTATAGCTTCTTGTCAAGAAAAGATACAGATCTTGACTGCTCATGTTTAATCACTGCATTAGTCAGGATCCTGTAGGAAAATACAGAAAAATACTTACACCCCGGGGATCCATGTGGTATAATAGCATGGGAAATATTAACATAAGGTTGTCTCCAACACATTTCCTTTGTTTGTCCCAGGGGAGGGACAGATATTTTGTTACTATGGCAAAATGTGCAAAATAAAACTCACTATTTCAGCTTTTCTAAAGTGTATGGTTCCGTGCCACTAAGTGCATTTGTGATGTTGTCCAATCCAACCTTCACTGCTTTCTAGTTCCAGAACCTAATTTTCATCACCCCAAAAGAAAACCATGTGCCCAGTGAGCAGTCCTTCCCCTTCTCTGTCCACTCCCCCCACCCCCCCTGCCCATGACAACTCATTAATCTGCTTGGATTACTGGATTAATGGATCATATATATGTAATCTCACACCGGAAAATGGATTAAAATCTAACACTCTGAGATTTTCAGGAAGCGAGATTTTAAAAGAAAAGTTTTTCACAGGTCCTAAATCTAGCTTCCAAAGGCAAGAGCCACCTTCTATTATTCTCCAGAGACCCATTTTATTCCAAGTACAAGAGTGATGAAAAATTGCAGCCCAGTGTCCCTCCTAGCCACAGGTAAGGGTCCACCTGAAGGTCTGATGAAAGAATTAGGAGGCGGGGTTGTTGGGCAAAGTCAGGGGAGAGCCAGGAGGATGAGACCCTAGGAGAGGTGTGTGTGTAGGGAGGTGGCTCCCAGAGCTTTCTGTGTTCACAAGGTGGAAAAATATGTGAAAATACATGGAGATGTGAGAAAAGACAGCCTGAAATCCTGGGAATTGAAAGAGGTGTCATGTAACTGGCAACCTGGGGAAGGCAGGGATTCGACTGGTAATTTTTAATCACTTTGGGATCTTTCACACTGAAGCAAGCCACAGAACCTCAAAAGAAAAAGAAAATCAGAGCCAAGATATGAAAGCAACCTAAGTGTCCATCAATAGATGACTGGATGAAGATGTGATACATATATACAATGGAATATTACTCAACTGTGAAAAAAGATGAAATCTTCCCATTTGCAACAACAGGGATAAATCTAGAGAATATTGTGCTCAGTAGAGTAAGGCAGACAGAGAAAAATAAATATCATGAGTTCGCTTATATGTGGAATCTAAAGAACAAAATAAACAAAACGGAACAAACTCATAGACACAGAGAACAAATTGGTGATTACCAGATGGAAGGGGTATTGGAGGGCTGGGTGACAAAGGTGATGGGATTAAGAAGCACAAATTGGTAGTTGCAAAATCATCACGGGTATGTAAAGAACAATATAGGGAATACAGTCAATAATATTGTAATAACTATGAATGATGTCAGGTATGTACTAGACTAATCTAGGGAATCACTTAGTAAATTACATAAATGTCTAACCACTATGTTTTACACCTGAAACTAGTATTGTATGTCAACTGTCATTTAAAAATAAAATTAAATAAATAAATATATATATAGCCTCAACCTGCAAAAAAAATAAAATGAAATAAAATCTGGTACACACTTCAGCATTTCACCTCTGAGGGGACTTGAGTACCAGTGAGAGCCATCGGACCAGCACCCAGCTAGAGAAAACGGCTCTGATCCTTACTGGATTAGTAGGCTGACATCAGGTCCTTCATTAAAGGTTTGAATTTACTCTGTGGATACTAAAATACAGGACCACTTTTTTAGCAATAGTACGACATGGCTACAAATCTTTTTAGGAAAACTGCACCCCATACAGAAACATTTAAAGCTAACATATTTACCTAAAATTCCTAATGGTTGATTTTTTTTCATATTTTAGACCATTTGGGGACACTTGCTCAGCTCAGGGTTGTTTTAATTTTACACTTTAGCTTTAATTAGGTGTGGTGCCTTGAGCAAATCATTTAACTCTTCCAGAATGATAATCCTTCTTGTAAAGCGGAATGATGAAACCGACCCCTAAATTGTTTGAGGATAAAATAAGAGGATGCTGATAATACGCCTGGCACATTGTTACTGTTCGTAGTCATTGATACTTAAATCAGCGGTTCTCAACGAGGAGTCCTCCTACCCAGCCCCAAGGACATTTGGCAATGTCTGGAGACATTTTTGGTTGTCACAACCTGGGCACAGAGGGAGGGGAGCCACTGCTAAATGCCCTACAGATTATTATCTGATGCTTTCTGATCTTTTTCCCTCTTAACAATTCAGATTCCATCAGCAAGTCCATGTGAATAATGCACAGGACAGGACGAAAATGTCAATAGTGCTGAAGTTGAGAACCCCTGGTTTAAAACATAAACCACACCATGTATATGTTAACCATGAGTTATACAAGGAATCAAAGTTAATACTGAGGTACAAGAGCAATCCACTGCTTTCACAAGGTCTCAGAGCTAATGCACAATGAACATAAACCTCAATCTTTCTGAAACCAACCTCTATCTGTCCTTGTTTCCAAGTGCCCTTAGACACCCCCACACATCACTTACCTCCTTCTCAGCCTCTGACTCTCAGCCTTCTTGAGTCTGGGACTGGATCTCGACCTGTGCCGTGAGCTGAGAAGTCTCTGTTTATATAGACGCTCCGGGCCTCACTTCCTATTAGCCCAGTGATTGGTTTAAGAACATGGAATGAACCATTTTAGACAATCACGTTGATTAGATTTCCCAGTGAAACCTCGCTAACAGAAACACTACGCTAGACTCAACGTTGGTTGTCTCAGTCCACTGAGTTATTTATCATACTTCTGAAGTGTCTGCAGGAGTCAGAGTCTGCAGATCCAAAAGTTTGAACCCATTTGGGTTACCCACTTTTTAAAAATTTAAGTGATTCTTAAATAATTTTATTTAAAATAAGATGGCAAGGCAAAGTGTGAGAAGAACATATTTCTAAGCAGACACTTGGAAAAGCAGAGGTCATACACCAAGAGAGAATGACAATGATGTCATATCAGTTTAGCAAACCAAGATATTGAACAAGTGAGAAGTAATTATTAAAACACAAGGAATATTAGTAATTTTAAAAACATTTTTTACCATTTTTTAATATCTTGAAATTAACATGTTAAAAGTTTGCTCAAGGTAGATTAAATAACCGGTTTGCATTAGTCAATTCACCCTTTTATAAAAACAACAGAAACCAGAAAAAAAGCATGTAGACATCAGCCGTATATTGATCCCCTCCCTCCCGGGGTGGGGGAGGTGATTTATAGAGAGACTAATGCTCTACATGAATGTTATTGATTGAATCATTGAGTCTGGGTTGAATTTTAATCAACTCTGGGCATGATTAGATTACTATCTTGGAGGGTCCCATTGTTAATCAAATCATAACAAATCCATTCAAATAGTGACTTATTTGTTTCGGGTTCAAAGCCAACTTTTTAACATTTCAGATGAATTGCAGGGTGGTTGGCTTTAGACTAATTTTGGTTCCAATCCATGGGGACTCTTAGACGAGCCTTTTAACCCCGTGAACTTCAAACTCCTTTTGAGTAGAATTGAGGGATTTTGAAGAGTACGAGACTTTCAGGAAAGGGCCTGATACAAGCTTGTTTTGCCCCGCAAATTGTGATGATTATTTTCTGATGCTTTCTGATCTTTTTCCCTCTTAACTATTCAGATTCCATCAGTAAGTTCATGCAAATAATGCTAATGCCCAGAATTAACTAGGATCTGCCCAAAACTACCATCTACCTATCCAACTTATTCAAATCCTTCATTCTAGAAATTCTTCTCATTCTTGTTTGTAGCCTTCAAATTCTTTTTAGACTTTATGTTTTTAGAGCAGTTTTAGGTTTACAGCACCATGGCTTTTATTATTTTGACCTCAGATTTGCTGTAATTTCTCAACTGAGCTAAAAATATCTAATTTGGGTAGCTGTCTATGAAACTCTGAGCTCTCAGTTTTGTTTCTACATAAATTGTATTCTCTCTCTAGATTCACACTCTTGGCTGAATGATCAGATTTGGAAGACATCAGTGCTTTGACCTAGGCATTATTTTAATTACGGGACTAGATCCCTCCTTGCTCAGTCAAAATGCTTTTATTAAATGCCTCTGAAGCAAATCTATCTTGGGAAATATTGATCTGTTGGCCTTTCTTTCCCACCCAGGATCCCTTATCTCTTTGCTCTGGTCATCCAAATAAGGTCTGTTGTTTAGTTAGTAGTTCTGGGCCATTACCATCTTCCTGCTGTAGACCATTCTACAGGGTTATGTAAGATGTGGTAACTGGGGGAGCCTGTGTGAAGGGTACACAGGAACTCTCTGATCTTCATTGTTTCTTTGGATATTTCCTCCTCTCCATTTTTATTTTCCCCTCTTTTGTGGAATCTTATTATCTCACGAATCCTATTATCTCCCAAGACTCTATATTTTGTGGCTTCTAGAAGAGTCCCCCATGTTATCTCTACCTCTCTAATTTGTTTTTCTGTTGTGTCCATTCTATCATACGTCGTAACTAATGTTATTTCACCTACTATATATATTTTTTAAACTAATATTCAACTATATTTATGTTTTTGAATTTTTATTCTTATTTCATCTGGCTAATTTTTTATGTTTATTATGCTTATTTATATTTATAATA